TTGATGAACGTTACAAAAGAAGAGTTGTTGGAACAGCTTTTAAAAATTATTGACGATATCAAAATTGATCCCGATCAAACGTCTTTAGCGAAAAGTAAATTGACAAGTGCTGAAGATAACAGACCTTCTGCACAAGCGATCGGTTCCATGGGTGTTATTGCATTAGTTGCAGTCGTAGCCATCATAGTTGTTATGGATTTAGATAGGTATATAAGGGGTATAAAAAAGGTGAAGAAACTTTTCGTAAAATTGCGAAAAATGTCATTCGGTGAAAAGAAAAACTAAAGTAAAAATGATCTGCCTGAACAAATTCAAAATTTGAGAGACGATTGAATTAATTGTCCACTTTACGATGTCATTTAACGTGAAATATCTGCTTATTTTATTTCTTTTGCAACTTGAATTAAATTAAGCATTTAATGAATCACTGATATTTTTAACCACTTGAATATGTCGCTTTCAAAATATTTTTCGGACTTACTTACCAGAGCTAGGCTGTTATATTGTCGGTCTTGTTCCTAAAGTAATGATCAAAAGGATCAAATGAAATGTTCAGCTTACTAATTAGAATGACATATGCATATATATACATTTAAAAAAAAACCAACAAAAACAAGATTACACAGGCATGTCGTTTATTTACTCGTTACAAACCGTGTATCGCTGACGAAAACACACGAGTGACATTATTACCTCGGAAGACATTTCAGATGACTATTACATTCAGTATGATTTTGTTATGGTTTTTAAAATCAGAAGGACATGCAAGGCAATTATTTGAAAAAATATCATCTATATATATGGTGGCTTCCAAAATTTTTGCCGGATGAGGATTATTTCAGAAAATTATTTATATTATTACCACACCTATGTTCGTGATGCTGTTTGTGGTAAACTATCAGTACAAGAAGGTACACTCCGCCAAAAAACAGTGTGTCAGTATTGGGATGATAAAAACACACACACACATATTACAAGAATAAACTGTTTGATTCTAAAATTCTTGAAATTTGTTTTAGAAGTGAAGTGAAAAAGATTGTTGATGTGAAAATATGTAAAACAAATGAAAACATTAATTTCTTTAAATGCGATGCATTTAAGATTTTTAAAAGTATCTTCAGATGTGTTTGAAATGAAAAATAAAATGTTTAACAGCACAAAACATGCCTAAAACAAAAACGATGTTTTGGTCGGTGCATAAATTGAATATTTAATGCAGTTTTAGTCATTAGTTTCTTCATAAAATTGCGGAAAAGTTGTTCTTTGAACTTTCAGATTCACTCTTGTATTTTATTATTCATACAAGAAAAGTTTGCACAAACATATAAATTATACGATTAGACAGATAACCTTTATGCTCCGATTACAAAACTGAAGATATTACGTCTCTCATTCTACAACAATCCATTGACTAGTTTCTCTTATGACAACAATTCATAGATGATTAGGACGAAATTACCATCCTTTTCAAAGCAGTAGTTTCATCAGTTTTAACCTGGTGAAAACAGTTGATTTGTAGATTCATAACAAGTTTTTGATATGAATAACAGATGTAATAATACAGCAATAAGACAACAGTTCAACGACGTAAAACAACCAAACGAAATATCTACATGTCACCATTCATTCTTCAAGATAAGAGACGAATGTTAGTTTTGCTAAGAATTATTAGCAAATCAGTCAGCACTTTGCCTCTGAAATGACTTATAATATACGTTTCTAAAATTCTCTGTTGATAAATAAGAATCAAAGGTTCCAACTCCTTTGCCTTTTCTTCAAGGTCCACTTTGATGACGTTTGTTTTTTTTACGTTCGTAGTAAAGTCATCTCCTAAATATAATTTAAGTTATAATATATAAATATAAAGACATGAAACAACAACATAAGATAGTTATAGATTTGTACAATAGTTACAGAAAAAAATTCACAATTTCCAAAATAGAAACACATAGGCGGTGTAATCAGATGTGGATACTTAAAATATTCCAAAGATATGTTAACGTACATGTTATTTGAGTCTCTTTTCTCTTACAATAGTACAAACATTTTACTTATTCACCCTTTGCAGTATTATTCCCCATTCTAAACTTAGATATTTTGAAAGATTATTCGAACTTTGTTTCATAAAAAAAGGCCAACATTGATTTGAATATTTTGTTTCAGGAAGTGATAATTCATAGTTTGTACATTAAACCAACACAGATGCAAACAAAATACTCTTAAAATGACATCGTCAAGATGATTCAATGTATGATTGGCAACATATTTCTTAAATTTTGTAGAACGTGTTTATCAACAAGCAATCGACATTCCGATAGGAACAGTATGTGATCATCTTTTTGTCGACTTGATCCTTTCTGCATATGAGGCACACTTCAACAGGAGCTTCTCAGAAATTTGAAAAGAAGCTAACAATATCCCTTTATTTCAATTTCAGCTTTATAGATGATTTCCTCTCAATAAATGATTCAAAATTTGAACGCATCCAATCGAACTTGAAATAAAAGATACCACAAATACAGTAAAGTGTTTTTCCTATCTTGTTTTACATCTAGAAATTGACAATTGAGAACAAATTCATAAGACAAAAGGATCAATGTCATCTTTCAAATTCTAAACTTTCTATTTCTAAGAAGCAACATTCTATCACTGTCTGCATACTGAGTTCATATATCTCACCTGGGCTTTGGTTTACTATCATAATTTCCTTGTTAGAAATTGATGCTTGCAAGAACATTTTTGAACCAATGGATTCTAGTGGTAAAGTTTACTTCATTCCTTTGAAACTGTCATGCACACCATCGAGAGTTGGTGGACCGTTATGGAATATCTGTGTTACACATAAACATGGATATTGTCGTAACAACAGTGCTGTCCTCTTTTGAATTAACTATCAACAGTATGACGGGTGCAAATAGTAGAGCAGTATATATTTACCTTTCCGGTGCATCTGAGATTAATAGTTTTGATGAGGTTCGTGTTGCTCAGTTTTTAGTTTTCTATATAGTGTTTAGTTGACATGTTTGTCTTTTCGTCGTATTTCTTTTTTTGTTTTTGTCTTGCTGTTGTCAATTTATCTTCGACCTGTGAGTTTTAATAGCCCCTTAGTATCTTCCGCTTCTATTTAGCAAAGTTCTGTGTAATAATAGACCTCAGATCTGTGTGAGCCCAGAGACGCGTATTTTCAATTTTTCGTGCTACACTAAAAGGTGTCTCTCACTAAAACACCTCATTAACTAAACACTGACATAAAACCATTACATGCGCACGTAATACAAAATAGCGTTAGCGTTAGAAGCATGCGTACATGTATTCGAGTATCACTAAATATCTTCTAAAGCATTATTATGATAAGATTATACATTATATTACAACTTTAAATTGTAGGTTTTGTAATTATTTTTTTCAATGTTTTTAAAACTAAGCAACTTTAATTTTTCAATGAATATAATCAAAGGGTTAACCTGAAACATTTCCTGATATGATATACAGATGCAATACTAAAATAATCTGGGTAAAATTTTTCATTTTTTTTTTTAATTTTCATAATTAAATGCGGAGCCCTACAATGGTGGAATTTTTTTATCGACAACATATTATTTTGTGTTTTGGTAGTTTGATATTTCAACAGACAGTCGGTTTTCAAATGGGTAATCATTATGCACCCCTTCTGGCACACCTACTGGCCAACTTGTGTGTGTTTTTTTTTTAATCATATGAAGCAGGTAACGAACAGAACCTTCTCAAAGACAAACAGAAAAAGCGTTCTTCAAGTTCATTTTCAAATTTATTGATTTTGTCTTGTCACTTTATAACACCAATTGAAGTTACTGCTTCAATCTCATATACTAATATCCTGGTATACATAATTTCAAGGATACAATCCATAATACAATGTCTGCCTAACATTTTGAAGTTTTCTTTGATATTGGCACAGATGGACGACTTCAAAAAGGCATCTATGACAAACGTGATGATTTTAACTTTCCAATTTCCAACTTTCCATTTCACAGCCGTAACATGCCCTATGTACCTACGTATTGATTATACATATCTCAATTAATATGTGAATATTCACCTTTTATCAACTTCATTAACAGGGATGTCTTCCTGACACAAAAACTGTTCCAGCTTAGTTATGAGAAAAACGACTGAATTCGCAACTTCTTAAGTCTACGGATCACCACCACGAATTGGTTGACCGAAACGATATAACTGTGTTTCAACTAATTAGGAATGGTGACATGTTTCAACGGTCGAAGATCTTATTATATAAGAATACTCGTCTAATCTGTAAATTCACTGATTGAGTGCTATCCCGATTGGCACATTTTAGCTAAGTGGATTTTTGTGATGTGAATGCTTGAATTGCAATAAACGATTACCCTGTCAACGCATCCGGTCTCGCCCATTTTTGTAGTTAATGCAATTCCCCAAATTTGGGGCTTTTTGCATTGATAAATTTCGTCTTAATCGATTTACATGATTTTAACATCGCAAATATACTGTGACATTTATTTACATATGTTTTAGAACTATATCAAGACCTGTTTAATATAAAGTACGCCTATGGAATGTAAAATCGCTATGTCTCGCCTTTGTAACTAGTGTTAATTGTTTTTCATCCAGAAGACCGCCTGTTCGCATTAAAGCATATTGACAAAATAATTTGTTTATTCCTTTTAGGCAATCATTTTTCCCGAACGGTGACTATTTGAACGGATTTTTACAATCAAAATAAATCAAAATTCAGATGAAACTTCTGTCATCCTTATTCAGTACACGGGAAAAGGTTGGAATTGAGAATATCATTTTAAGACTTTTTAATATTTAAGTTGATTTTAAGACAGGTTTGTTGTTTTGTAAGCGTATTATCATCTTTGATTTAGCCTTAAGATTAAAGTATGATGTCAGTTTGTTTGAATCATTTATAATAGCGTTATATTAAAAAACAAATTGCTGTTTGCAGTAATTACTGATACAATATTTTCTTGAAAGACACAAATCTGTATGACCTCATGTGGGTTTGTATACATGCTCCATTTGATTTGACTCGTAGATGGGTTGTGGATGGGCTCAGCATGCTCAGTTATTAAAAAGAAAAGAATGTAACAATTTATAAGTGATACAAGGGGCGAGCAAAATGTGTTCTCATTTAATCTATGCCAAGAGATGTATGTTGATATCGGGTCACCTTACCATTGGAATTTTTCGCGGGTTATGACTTCCAGTCCTAAATTCGCACGACATGCTGATACTGTATAAATATATTAATTATTTTTATTTTTAGTAATTCTTTTAAGTAATAAATCAAATAAAAAGAGATTAGTCAATTCGGTGGCCATATTTTGCAGCTTATGCTCCTTTAAGTTGGACTATAACATATGTGTCCATCATGTTTACAATCGTAACTCATGTATACTGTGTCTTAGATATAAAAATAAAGAGTTTTCATTTGCACTTGTCATTAGTTTGGCATCTGTCTCAAATTTGCAAATGTATTTAGGAGCAATGACTTTATATATAATAACTGCTGGTAGCTTTATCGTGTCTATTGCATAACCGGAAACTTTAATTGTTGGAGCGAAAGTCAGAATTTAATACAAAATAATGGATGTGGTACAATTTCAAGATAAGTGTTCGCTGAACATATACTATGTCAATAGAGATAAAAAAAAAAAAGGTACTTCATGGCATTAATTATAATTGGAATACTATAATAATCGTCTGCTGTGTCACTCGTCTGAACGTGTTGAAGTTATGCCGAAAAAAGCAAATGATTAATTTGAATCATGCAACAGAATTTTGCAAAACAAATTAGAGTTTTCATTAGAAAAAATGGTATAAGCAGTATTTCATCCGTCATTATATGTAAATGTTCAGTTATTCAACAATAATACACAGATATCAGAGGGACAGTCAAACTCATAGATCGAAAACAAACTGAAAACACCATGGCCAAAATTAAAAGACAAACAGACAAATAATAGTACAGATGACACAACATAGAAAACTAAAGACTAAGCACCCCGACCCCACCAAAACTGGGGGTGATCTTAGGTGCTCCGGAAGGATAAGCAGATCCTGCTCCACATTTGGCACCCGTCGTGTTGCTTATGTTCTTACAAATCCGGTAAATAATCTAATTCGGTAGGTCACCTTCGTGAAAAGGGAAGGGTATTGTAATTACGACATAAGGAATATATCCGATATCATCTGTGAAATGGTTATTCCATAACGGTCAACCAACTCGTGATGGCGTCCGTAAAATTTACGAAGGGATGATTTCAACTTCACCATTTGGAACTCTTGGTTTAATAGCTTCCTTGTTAGCAGCAATCCTCTATCAAGTAAATCATGATAGGAAATACAAACCCGGGAATATTGTATCAATTGGGAGATATATACTCCGTATGCAGGCGCTGCTGGAATGTTGCTACATAGAAATGGAAAGTTCACAATTGGGAAGCTGAAATCATCTCTTTTGTCGTAAAGTTTTGTTTTCAACCGACCCTCGTTATCAATTTCTAGATGTAAGTCAAGATATGAGGCAGACTTAACTGTATCTGTAGTATCCTTTGGGATAGATTCGTTCAACATAGTCACCAAATTTTGTATTATTTAGTGAGAGAAAATCATCTATATAGCGGAACGTAAAGTTAAAGGATATTGCTATCTTCTTATCTTTCTTCCTAAGAAGTTCCTGTATGAAGTCAGCCTCATAATAATAAAGAAACAAGTCGGCAAGAAGAGGGGAACAATTGGTTCCCATTGGAATCTCGACAGTCTTTTGAAAAACACCCAACCTCCAAACGTAACAAATATGTTGTCCATCAAGAAATCAAGCATCTTGATAACGTCAGTTTCAGATTCTTTTTCAAAGTAGGATTTATCCCTCCCCAAGACAAGATTCTTGTATCTACGTTCGCCATGCCAGTTTAACTCAGAACAAGGGCATCTTTCGGTTTATCGAGGACTCGGTCCATTGATTGTTGTTAATATGAATTTACATAGAAGAATAGTATGATTGAGTAGGCTACGGGTCCGTTGAGTGAGTTATTTGTAAAATGTTGCATATTTTGTCGAATTTTATATTAGAAAAACATGTATTCATATTGTTTTGAAAAACGTGTTTATTACATGTTAGTATTGTGTATCCAGTAAGATGGTTCAGCATTACAATTGAACAAAATATAATCTATGCATGAAGCCATCAGAAAAATTAGTCTCAACATTACACGTGCCTCTACTGTTTGTGAATGTAGGAATATTTGAATCATCTGACTTATATTTTTGAATCTCTCTTGAGACAAGAGCAAAAACAAGATCCTCTTTTAAGTGAACCACTGCTCCTAGATATTCTATTAATTGAGTCGAAATTAAACAAGATTTTTCCACATTGATTATCAAACCCAGATTTTTTAACAATTCCCGAGTGTACTGTAATTATTTTGTCAGCTTTACTTTACTGCTGTTTTTAACATCCAATTGTCCAGGTAC